TTAATTATTCACTGAGGTCCCCCCCACCTTTGTTCTGTTCTTTTTCCCCCATTAGGGATGCCAATTGTGGGGTGTCGGATCGCTTCATGATCTTTCATGTCTATTCGTTTTCTGTTTTCAACCTTGTACTTGCTTTCCTCAACCCCCATTGTTTTGCCAGCACTTATTTCCTTTCACCTGCCTCTAGTTTGGCCTCTATTTGGGTGACCCAGGCTGAATAACTTTACATGGAATTCCTGGGACCGTGAGTATTTCAGATTTGGATTTTCTTGGATTTGGGATGATTTATATATACGTAATGAGATGGCCCCAAGTCTACCCACAAAGATCTTTTCTGTTTCATACTCACCTTATGGACAAAACCCGAAAGTGACTTTGTGCGATATTCTTGGGGCGTCAGTGTTTTGGCCACCATGGGTCATGTGAGGTCAGGTGAGGAATCCCACTTGGGACATCATGTTGGTGCCCTCAGAGTTTTGGATTTGGGAGCATTTCCCACTCTGGATTTTCAGATTAGGGATGCTCAACCAATATTTTTATTCTTGTTCTTGTTTCTGTTATTGCCTCTGGGATCTGCCTTTCTGCTTTACTTCTGCTTCTGGAATTTTCCTCCAGAATCCTCCCCAGAGCTTCCTGAACCCTGGTGAATCCTTTTATGTTTTTGTTTATGGAATCTGTCATTCTGTTACACTTTGTGAATTATGGTAACATGGGCAAATTTGTAATCTGTTGCACATGACATTTCCGGGGTGGGTGTTCATCTGTCTTTTTTTAATTTCCTGCAGCATTCTGTAAAGGCCCATTTTTTCAAGAGAGGAGTTCTTTATCCACCAGCTCCTTGCAGGAGCCTCCCCCTGGGGCCAGCAGAGAGGGCCTGGCCCATCCTCATGGGAACCCTATGGGGTGTGTGTGTGTGTGTGTGTGTGTGTGTGTGTGTGTAGGGATCTTGCGGCCTCTGGGTTTCTCTTACTTGCTGAGACTTGGGTGAAGACGCTGTTCCTGACACTACCTGTCTTCCTCCCCTCACCTCAGCACTAGGCTGCTTCCTCCAAATGTGACTTGCCTGTGGGCTTCTCATTCCAAGCCACCTGTGCCCGGGAAAGGGACTACTGCCCATCTACACATCTGTCATGTCGTCCCAAGAAAGTCATTGCTGGCTGGTGTTCTACTTATTTGGGGGACCGAGGCTCTGCCGTTTTTGTCTGAAAGCCGCAGCCCTCGAAGCCTCTTGCTTCTCTGTCTGAGCGCCCAGCAGCTGGGCAGCTCTTTCTCACAGCCTGTGGCCTGGGGCTGCAGATGTCTTCTCTCTCCCGCGGGGAGGAGTTTGCTTTTTTGTGTGTGTGCTCCTTATTGCTTTGGGTGAATTCCAAGAGGAAGTCTTTAAACCAGGATATGATGGCAAGACGACTCTAGTTTTTAATCTTTTCTCTGCTGGTGAAAAAGCTTATTCCTTTTTGTTAACTTGAAGTAACTTTTCACATCGAGCAAAGTAGTTTCACAAAGAGCTTTTTACTTTTAGGCTTGGAATGATCCCGTTAGGGATAATGAAGCCTCCGTTTTGACGGTTCCTCCAGAGTCCAGAGGTCAGAAAGCGAATGGAGGGGAAGCCAGAACCGAGCAGGGGTTAATGTTTATACACAGGAGACCTTTAGGTTGGTTGGACTTGTTTACCTGGAGGATGACCCTATATTCCGGGTTTACCAGTTTTGATGCCAAACATCGATTGTGGTTTATGACTTGGAGCGTTCCCGCGATGTTCCCTTGGCATTCTTGGGATGCTGGGCTCAGGACTCGCGGCTGGGTTTATATTTGAATGAAACAGAACTTTCCATGCACAGTGACTGTTGCACACCAGCCGGGAAACAGAACATGTGGCATACTCTGTGAAAACGTCAGTACCCAGAAGTAGAAATGATACAGGCCTCGGGTCATTTGAGGATTACAGGAAAAGGAAGTTAAGGCACCCAATCTCCATTAATCATTAACTCCGATTTTTAAATGCCAGGGTACTAAAAATTTGTGTATGCCTCTGAGGGTCTTGGGCAAGAGGGAAAGAAAAGGTTCTGTTCACGGGATGAGGGCCTTGCTCAGTACTCAGGTAGGTCGGAAGATGCCTTGGCAGGGAAGGGCTCTGGCACCTTCTGGGGGGTGACATGGGACTTGGGGCCCCTTCCTTCCTGTCATCAGCTCCATGGCTGGTCACTGAAGCCCAGCCAGTCCGTGACCCTTGACTGAGCAGCAGCAGGCAGAGTGGCAGAGCCCAGCACAGAGGCCGTGAGAGGAAGGGCCAGACCCCCACCGAGGGAGGGAGCGCGGAGGAGGCTCCCCGGGTGGGGGTCGCAGTTTTCTCTGGCGATTGCATTTAGTTTTAATCGTGAGACATCAAACGGGAAACATAGACAGAAGTAATCCTGCCAGATTGATGACCATTTTGCGCCCAGCTGGAAATGACTGCATCACCCCTCACCTTGGATTCACTGAACTGATGTGGGTGCTGTCTTCCGGGGCTCAGAGTTAGAGACGAGCATCTTTGGCCTCACCTTTCAGGACGATTAGGTGGCCCAGCACACACCAAGCAGGTTAGAAGTTGATTCCTGGTGCATATTTAGGGCAGGAACAGGGACTTGCAGAGGGTTCACAAAGGAAGGAGCGGGTCACAGGAAAGAGCCAAGAGTGGTCTTTCCCAGGCCTTGGTGGCGGTTGGGGGTGGAGAGTGAGCCGCAGGCACTCAGGCTCTACTGTCCCGTGGAGGGACACGTTTTTTAGGCCTGGGTGATCTGGCTGCTGGCCCAGGTTGTTGATGGGGCTCACAGGCTCTGTCCTGCTGCCCTGGGGCTGGCCTCGCCCGTGGGGCCCCGCCAGAGGATTCACCACCGGGAAGGAGGCTGGGCGCCTCCATAAGGAAGTTTCTGGGAAATTTCTTGGGACCGGACTCTCAGGAAGAGGATGAGAGTGGGCAGGACCCTGCAGAGTGGGACGCCCAGCCGCTGGCTGCCCTGAGGAGTGAGCTGAAGGGCCCCCGTGGCGAGTGTGGGACGCGGGCTTGACTCTGTGCCTCACGCCTGCTGCCACACTGCTGGCTTTGTCACTAGGCGTCCCCTTGGCCCTCTCCTGTCCCCCACTCCCATCTTCTCCTCCTCCATCGTCCCTTGTGACCGGCTGGTGGATCTTCTGCCTCCTGGTCCCCCTGTGCCCGCTCCGTTCACTCCCAGGCTTTCACTCACCCAGCAAGGTGGACTCTGCCCGGCCTGCGTCCAGCTCCCCTCCCCCTCCCTGACAGCCGGGGACGTCCTCTACAACCCCAGCCAGGGTCCCAGTCAGACCCACGCCTGCCCTCCTGCCTGCCACCGCTGCCCTGCAGGGAAACTTTCCCATCACGGTCACCCTTTGCTCTCATCTCCTCCGAGTAGCTGGATGTGTGAGAAAAGGCGGGTTTATCACATCTCCCCCGCGTCCCATCCCTCTGTCCAAGCTGTCACTCAAGCACGTTGTTGGCATGGCTTTGGAAGAGACGTCCCGGTCCCCGCCCTGCCATCTCTTTCCCCATCACCGATCCTCTGCAGGTTCTCTTTTCTAAGCTGCTTCTTCTGTCACGTGTCACTCTGGCCCCGCGTTGTCCTGTGCCTACAGGGTACAGGCTGCATGTCTCGGCTGGCGCTCGCGGGCCCGGGGTCTGAGCTCAGCCTGTTTCCACGCGTGCCTCTCGTTCTTCTGCCCACGTGCCATCTCACTTCTGTCCCGATCCTCCTCTGCGCTGTCCCTCTTGTGTGTCTCCTCTGTGTCCAAGGATTGCTCCATTGTTGAGACACAACTGCGCTCAGAGCCGCGTCCCCTCAGTGGAAGACTCCCCCAGCCTGAAACCCTCGTCTTCCTTGGAGGTCACCTTCCTCCGTGTCTCTTCCTGCAGCCGTAGTACAAATGCGCCAGTTGATGGCGTGGTCTTTCGGGAGCCCACACTGAGCTCCCCTCTGCCGGGCTTTGTGCTTAGGCAGGTGTTGAGATGCAAAGAGTGTGCAAGATTGGGACCTCCTTTAGGGTCCCCATAGTGCCATGGGGGCAGGTAAATGGGCACCCCCCCACACCATGGAGCACGTGGGCTCCTCCACCCTTGGGTGGCCTTGACAGAGCCAGGAGCACAGAGAGGACGGTGGCATTTGAGCTGTGCCTCCAGGGTCCAGGGTGTGACATTTGAACTGAGGTGTAAAGCCGTGGTAGAGGCTTCCAGGTGGAGAAAGAAGGCGGAGCGGTCAGCCAGGGACAGGTGCGCACGTGAAGCCTGGAGCAGGACCCCGGTGGCAGGCAGGGCCAAGGGCGGTGTGACATGGGAAAGTGGATTGTGCAGGGAGTGAAGAGAATTGTTTTGTGTGATGAGGAAGAAGTGAATCGTGAAGTTACTGTAATATAATAATTGTGACATTTCTATTGTAATGGAAACTTGAGGACCCTGCCTGTGTCCATGTGAGGTGTGACCATTCCTTCATTCAGATTAGAAGCTGCCACAATGTGTGTTTTCTCCATTTATCTCGATAATTCCCACACCACTTAATATGTTACTGTGTCCATGCGAGGTAATTAACCGGCTAACGACAGGGCCTGGGCGTTGTTATCTTCTTCCCAACCCGTCTTATCGCGTAGAAAGCAGTGCTTCGCTCACTGTAGACACTGAATAAAATGTGGAACACAACCGAGTCTCTGGCATGAATAATTAAGAGCTGACTGTGAGACTAAGAAAAGAATAAAATATGCAGCAACATGCAAAAATATGCAGATGACTAAAAGATGCAAAAATATTTTCATGCCTTGTGTGTCTAAAGGTGACATTGCTGGTGAATGAACTGGAGGCAGCTACCTGGGTCCCCGTGTGGGGGGACAGGTGGAGAGCATGCTCGCCCTGGTGTGATTTGGAGAAATTCCCATAATAAAGGGGAGAAGATGATAAGAGTTACTTAAGTAATTCTAAAGTCTCCTGATGTATTTTTCTTTCTCACTGCTTCCTGCAGATATTCTACAAGCTACTTTCATCATGGGGGAAATAGAGCAGAAGCCCACCCCAGGCTCACGACTGGGAGCACCAGAGAATTCGGGGATCAGCACCCTGGAACATGGGCAGAAGCCTCCTCCGACGCCTTCAGGAAAACTCATGTCCATCAAAATCCAGATGCTGGACGACACCCAGGAGGCCTTTGAGGTTCCAGTAAGTAGAGGGTGTGTTTGTGAACCCCAGGGTGTGGGCAGCCTTGGGTGGGAAGGTCTTTCCCACGTCTCAGACAGGAGGAGGCTGGAGAAGGTCTGCCTGTTTGGCTCTGACGACACATTCTTGTCCTGAGCAATCCAGTTTTCAGATTTGTGTGTGAATTGCTCATGTAGTGATGTGGATGACCTCGTCACTTGTGTTTTCCTGACTTTCTGCACACACATATCCATAACTCGGCATGTGTGTGTGTGCACGATGGATCCTAGTTTAATTTGCTAATATCACATGCGATTTCTCTCTCATATGAGTGTTTACACGTGTGCGCGTGCACGTGTGTGTGTGTGTGTGTGTATGTCTGTCTGTCCGTCCGTCTGTGTCCCATTTCACTTGTGTACAAGAGTTCTGGCAAGAAAAATCCTGAGAAATCCACTGAAGAGCCGTATGTGTATTTTCATGTTGGGAGATCAGGAGAGACCATGTTCGTGGCCTTGGCAGGTGGCGCGTGCGGAGTGTGGGAAACCCCAGCACAGGCCCCGTATGGCAGCCCTAGAAACACAGAGGCCCGTCATCCCAGGGCCAGGGAAGGAATCATGTGGTGGCCAGAGGCCAAGCACAGGGAGAGCCAGTGGCCTTGGCCTCTGCACCAATTGCAGCCCCTCGCCCAGGCACCTGCCCTGCCCACCGCGAGGCTTCTGCTGTTTCCTGAGCCCCTGCCTCGTCCTCTCCTTGGCCTCCTCCTCCAGTGGCTCTGCTAGAGGGTGAGGACCGCCACCAGCACACAGTACCAGTTACCTGGCGCAGCACGTTCGGGTCCCCAGGCCAGAGAGTACCTCCTGTGTTGGGCTCTCCAGAAGCCAGGGTGGGTTTCCCTGAGGACCGTCTTCTCTGACCTGCTGTTAAATGGTGCACCTTGGACATTGTGAAGGGAGAAAATAACTCCTGAATGCCACGCTGCCAACTTCAAACTTGGGAACACACCTGTTTTTAAAGTGGAGACAGTCTGACCATTATTTTGTTGGCTGGAGCGACTGAGGTTTAATAATTGCCATCAACGGTGGTAACCCATCATTTAATTGTTTATGGGATATAATTCAGTAAATTACATTTATTTCAAAGAACATTGTTCAGAGAGTGTGAATTAAGTGTCTGAGGGAAAGATAAACCTCACGATAGTCGTGTTTAAAACTGCCAATTTATTGCTCATTGCAAACAACCCTGGCCCCTTTCAGACGCTCTTGTGGTGGGATTCAATCTCGAAGTGACTTGGGGATGCGTTCCTAACAGTGAACAGAGCCCGTGCTGCTCTCTGGAGTCATAAAGCACGTTGAGGAAAGCACCTGCAGTGGTCTGAGAATTAGATCTCTGGAACCTGGGACCGCCCTGCCCTCCCCCTCTTTTCTCTTCCTGGCCACTGTTGTGGGGGGCACTCAGTTCAGTGTTTCCTGGTGGGGGCCATGGAGAGCCACCCCTGCTGTTGAATGGTGCTTCCAAACGGGATTTGGTCCGAGGAGCTGCCAAGTGCTGTGTGTTGGCCACGGGGTCATTGTGCTGAACTTCACTGTGGTTCTTCAGTGTCCCCACACCGAAGAATGTCCAGGCTTTATTCCTAGTTACTGTTTAGCTAGGGAGTCCCTGCTCAAGAAGTAGAAATAGAATTGTTTTCCTCTGTTAGTAATTTTGATGCTCTATTTTGCATTTTTAACCTCTCTGGAAGGAATCTTTCCTAGCCTCCCAATAAACTCCTGTGCATCCTTAAAGATCCCGTTAGTTTTACCCAGAGGCCTCCTCCCTGAGGCAGTGACTGTTTTTATCAGGGTGGAGCTAGGCTGCCTGGCCTCTGCTTTCTGCTCCATAAGAGGAGGAGGATGATGACCCTTACCTCCTGTTACAGGAGAATTTAAAAAGTCAGGACAAATAAAGTATCTAGAACAATTCTCGGCGCATCCTGGAAAGACAGTATGTACGGTTGGTGGGGCATTGAGGTGCTTGGCCACTACAGAATCCGCGTTTCGGGCTAGGGACCTGCCTTCTTATCATACCCCTAGCCTCTAGCCTGGTGCCTGACTCATACTGGGCCCTCATTCAATGCTTGCTGCCTGAATGTTAGAGGGCATTTATTTTACAGTAGAACTCAGTGGCATTGCTCGTTTTGACAGGCCTCATCCATTCATGTTTTATTTTTCTAGTTTGGTCAGAATGTTTCTTCTTAGTCCATGAGCAACAGATGGTTTCCCTAACTGGCTACAGCCAGTGTCAGCATTTCTATGGATGGAGCGGACTCTAAATTGCTGCCTTGGGCTCTTTGAGAACAGCTCGAGCCAGGCCATCCACAGCTGGAAGCCATCAGGGCTGCCGTGGTGACTCAGTCACGGCACTTGGATTGGAGGACAGTGACTGCAGGATTGCAGAGACCCAGCTCCAGAATCGACTTGTTTTAAAATCTTGCTCCAAAACTTTTTTTGCTGAGACCTCTCAAAGCCAAGGGTCTGGCCCTGGAAGCGTCCTCTTCGCCAGCGCCATCTGGGCCCCCGTGAGTGAATTCTCCTCGCTCGCTTGCGTTTGCGACACGGATGAGCAGGGCACAGGGCCAGAAGTCTCTGGAGTTTCCCTCTGGGGTTGTTCTTCTGTGAACCCGGTCCTCTTCCCCTGGGGATCGAGTGCACTGGGCCTCGTCTTCCTACTCTGCCTGCATCCATCTTTAAAAGTCAAAGCAGTCGTTTTAAGTGCAAATTCCCTAAATATTTCTTGGCACCAAGAACCAAATCATACCCACCCTGGCTGTTTCCATCATTATTTATAAACTTAAAAAAAAAAAATCACTGTGAAGAGTCGACCTTTGGAAAGCCAGGGCAGAGAGCGTGACAGTGTCCTCCGTTCGGTAGCCGGTTCCACGGCTACCTTTCCTGCTGAACTTGGACCGTCCATTGGGGTACTTCCTCTGCCGAGAGGAAAACTCAAAAACAATATTCACGGTAAGCTCTTGCATGGTGTTTTATCGTCTCTGGGTGGAAAATGCTCTGCGAATAAGTCTCTGCCTTTGGATCGATAGATGAGGCTTTCCCTTCCTGTCGAGGTCATAAGACATGGTGACTCCTGGGCTCTGGAAGGCTTCATGGCACGTCCCCCTGCCAGGCCACCTCCACGGAGGCCCCTGAGAAGGTTAAATGTGCCCGGTCTTCACGACCCTCTGGTAGACAAACCTCGTTTCTCTGACATTGGTGGGGTGAGCGGATGGCTTCTTCCCGGGGTTTACTCTTCTCATCAGCAATGCCATGTGGGAGGAGCGCAGCGCACAGGAGTGGAGTGGAGCCATGTTGGGCCCTTGCGCAGGCCTGGTCCTGACGGCACGCGGAGAAGAAGCTCTCAGGTGACGGGAAGACGCCCGTGGCTGCTGCCGAGCTGGCAGGGCTGGAGGGGGACAGTGCAGACCCCCCCCCTCCCAGCAGTGGCAGGAGAGCTGGGCTCCGTGATGATGATCCCGGGAAGGAACCCTTGCAGCCTCTTCTGGTACTTGCATCTCGGTGTCCCTTTCTTCAGGCGCCTGTGCCGCTTTTCAGAGTGGCAGGGCTCTTCTCCTGTGCCTGAGGATGGCGCATGGCTCTCCTTGTTCAGGAAGTCTGGGAGAGGGCAGCAGACCTTCACAGAGGTCTGCTGGGCACTGCCCGGGGCGTCGGGTGCCCCGGAGTGACCTCCACCTCACTCCACCACAGCCGTGTGTTGGCTTCTGCATCAGCCCCTCATGACGGAAAGTCCTGATTGGTTGGTCTGCTCAGTGGGGACCTCCGACAGGGGGCTGGAGAGCTCCTGGGGGGAAGGCCCCTTGTTCATCATTTCTCCCTGCTCGTGAGGGTGCCTGGCTCCCGGGGACACTCAGTAGGTGTCCACACTTCGGTTCTGTTGTTTGGTTGTCACAGTTTGAGAGACGGTGGGTGCTGTCCCTGGATACAGATGAAGGACCCACAGGAAGGCTCTCCAGCCACCTCCTCAGGAGTGGCTGAACCATGTCTGAGCTGCCTCCCCTTGTGGGACCCCAGGCTCCCGGTCCTACCCACTGTGGAGTGCCGCTCACGGATGTGATGTGGCTCAGGAGTCTGGGGACAGCAGAGATGCATGACAAAAAGAGATCAAGTTGACCTCTCAGGAACGCTTACATATAAAATATAATATATAATATATGATATTTATATATAACATAGCATATATATAGAACGTACATATAAATATATAAAATATGTATATATGAAAGTGTCGACCAGTTCATTGAAGGCCCAGAAGATCTCTCGGATTTCTGAGAGGAGTGACTGTTCTGCACGTCACTGAAGAGGCCATGTAGGTGCCGAGACCTAATTAGGAGCACTATAAAGTCAGGCCTTGAGTGATTAAACGGTGGGTGTGCTTTATTACCTCTATGAAACAGGGCCTTTCATTTCCTTTAATTCTCATGACACCTGGGTGTGGCATCCATGGGGGTCCCTTCTTCCCAGGGCTCATCTGGGGTGGGCTTCAGTGATGGTGTCACCTTAAAGCTGTCTTCCTGAGCTTCAGCTCTCATGAAGGGATGGAGCAGAGATCTTTCTTTTTTTTTTTTTTAATACAGGGATTGAACCCAGGGCTCTTAGCCACTGAGCCACATCCCCAGCCCTTTTTATTTAGGGACAAGGTCTTGCTGAGTTACCTAGTGCCTCGCTGAGTTGCTGAAACTGGCTTTGAACTCACAACCTTCCTGCCTCAGCCTCCCGAGCCACTGGGATTGCCGTGTGTGCCACTGTGCTGACAGAGGTTGGTCTTTTTAAAGCCCCTCCTCTTCTCCTTGTGGCCCTTGGGGAGATCCCAGGCTTGAGCTCACCTGCAGCAACTGCATGTAAAAGTGCTTGGTTTCTTCTTGGATTCTAACATTTTTCAGGCATCTGGTCTCCCTTCTGTTTCTCTTTCAGCCATCTTAGGCTGGGGGAAGCTGCTGCGTGTCTCTTCCTCTCTTTTCCTCTAAGGGGGTGAGATGC